CTTTGGCTACATCCCCCTCCCCCTCCCCCCGTCCCCCTCCCCCCCCCCCCCCCCTCCCCCCTCCCCCCCCCCCCTCCCAACCTCCCCCTCCCCCTCCCCTCACGCACAGCGTGCCAGCTTGAAAGGGAGAAAGTTGACACTGCATCCGGCTTCGACCCAGGGACCCTCAACCCTAAACCCAAGCCCTAGATCTGGGAAGAGTTGTCCTCAGAAGCCATTTGCCATCCCGAAGAGAAGGAGTTCGATAACATGATACACAGCTCCGGATTTCCCGTGGTAGCCCAGTAACCATATTATGCTAAGGGTACCCCCTAAACTTAAACCTTAAAACCCTAAACCTAAACCCTAAACCCTAAACCCTAACCCCTTTTGGGGCTGGTGACTTTATCAAGGAGCCTTGAACAAAAAAAAGGAAGAGGGCAGCACTCTGCTCCCCAATTCCCAATGCCGAACGCGACGTGCCCAAACCCAAGAACCCTACAAACCAAAACCCAAAACCAAAGTACCCCCAAACTCCTTCAACCCCAAACCCTAAACCCTGAACCCTAAACCCTAAACCCCCAGAAAAAAACGGAGCCTGCCCACGAGGCCGTCGGAGCCCTGGCGGCGTTCCGAGGCTTCGGAGAAAAACTCGCGGCGGAGCTCCTCGAAGGCCTGCGGGGTTTGGGGTTTCGTGGGTTTAGGGTTTAGGGTTTAGGGTTTAGGGTTTAGGGTTTTGGGTTTTGGGTTTTGGGTTTTGGGTTTTGGGTGTAGGGTTTAGGGTTTAGGGTTTACGAGTTAGGGTTTCGGGTTTAGCGTTTAGGGTTGAGGGCTTTCAAGGTTTTGGGCTTTCGGAGTTTAGGGGTTTAGGGCTTCATGGTTAGGGCTTTAGGGCTTTCGGGGTTTAGGGGCTTCGTGCGTTAGGAGTTTTGGGCCTTTAGGGGCTTAGGGCTTTAGGGGGGGCTTACGGCTTCAGGGTTTTTGGGCGTTTAGGGCTTTCGGAGTTTAGGGCTTTAGGGCTTAGGGTCAGGGTGTGTAGGGTTTAAGGCGTCAGGGTGTATGGTGTAGAGCTTAGGCTTTAGGGAGCTTCGAATGTCGGATTTGGGAAGTTCAGGGCTTGGATGCGCGTAGGGATGGTTCGGAGTATGGCAGCGTGTGGGAGTTTCCACACATCAAGGTTTACATTCCCCTACCCCTCCCACATCCCCCCGCCCCAAAAGAGACAAGCAGAAATCTCCCGCTGAAAAAGCCCAACATGGTGTCTCCAGCGCACCACCACGTTCAGGGGCCCATTAGAGGCTTGGGGTGTTCAGTGTTTAGGGCTCACTTAAAGTTAGGGGATAGGATTAGGGAGACCCCTTGGGGATATAGACCCTCTGAATAAGGTCCCTGTTTAAGAGAGCCAGAAGAGGGTTAAGAAGGGGTTCCCTTTTAAGGGTCCCCCTTATCCCACCTAGGAAAAGTTCGGCCACCACGTCCCAGAGCATTCAAAAAGGCGCGCGCGAGCCTGGTGAATCTGCTGGTCGCGGTCCCTGCGCCCCCGCATATCCTCCCCCAGGACCTGGCTGTGGCGCACTCAAGCCTACCACCCCTTTAACCGGCTTTATCCCTTTAAGCCCTTGAAACCCTACAAACCCTACAAACACTACAAACCCTACAAACCCTACAAACCCTACAAACCCTACAAACCCTACAAACCCTGCAGACCCTGCAGCCCCTTCAAACCCTTTAAGCTTAAACCCTCAAATTAGCCTAGGGCTCCAACTGCAGCAAGTGCATGCAAACTCCTTGCGTTTGCCGAGCTTTGCGTGCCCCACCTCTTGCTTCTTTCTACTGGCTAGAGACTCCACCAAGCTGCACTCTAACCACACAAACCTTGAACCCCAAACCGATACACTTACAAATAAATATCCACATACAGGCTTTAAACGAGACCCCTCTCAAAGCTCAGCCTACTGGGCTTGGCGGTTCAGGGCTTGAAGATATTTAAGTTGGTTTAGGCTTAGCCTAGTTCCGGCTGAGGCAAGTTTAGTTTAGTGATCACAATTGAAGAAAATTCTGCCACTCTTTCAAGACACCCTATGCTGCTATCGTGCGACTCTGAAAGACACCCTAAATCGTCAACCATATTCCTTTTGGGGCGATTACAACTCAGGGTTGGTGGAGAGCTAATCATTCCTTTTGGGGCTGTTACAGCTCGGGGTTGGTGGGAGAGTCTCATCGGGCACATCCTGCAGAGAATGCTCGCAGAAGAAGAACAATGTGACGATGACAATGGCCATAAAAGACTAATGATAATGTGAATGAGATACCACTTCTGCTACTGCGACTGCGACTGCTGCGACGACGACGACGACGACGATTATCCAAGTAAGAGCGAAGAGTGGGGATGATCACAATTGATTAAAAATAGTGACAATCAGAACCCCTCTTAAACTGTGACCCTCATAGTAGTAACCTTACCATCAGTGTTCAAAACACAAACCGACCACCAGTCATAGGGGCAACAAGAAAACTAAAGGTAATGACAACAGTTGTATCAATACTGAACAAAGTAGCACATTATACCTCAAGCAAGCGTAGTAATGAAAAGAAGAACAGCAACATGCACAAGAACAAGAGAAGCAACAGTAACAATAACCAGAACAATATCATCCAGGCTCCGTGGTGCCTCCTCGGCCTTTCGGATCTGATCGGCCATTTCCACCTCCAGCAATCGACTCAGGGTTTAGGGTTTAGGGTTTAGGGTTTAGGGTTTAGGGTTTAGGGTTTAGGGTTTAGGGTTTAGGGTTTAGGGTTTAGGGTTTAGGGTTTAGGGTTTAGGGTTTAGGGTTTAGGGTTTAGGGTTTAGGGTTTAGGGTTTAGGGTTTAGGGTTTAGGGTTTAGGGTTTAGGGTTTAGGGTTTAGGGTTTAGGGTTTAGGGTTTAGGGTTTAGGGTTTAGGGTCCACTCGGACTTGTCTACGGGGCCTCGGGTTTAGGATGTGGGCTTAGTTCGTCGTACTATGAGTAGGGTGTCGGGTTTGCGGGTTAGAGTCTTACCAAACAGTTCATGGCTCTAGAAGTGGGGTCATAAGCAAACCATAGTTGCCCTGCTCATAGCCGGGCGCCCTCAACACCCATAAGAGCCGCTTCCAGAAATGCGCTTCAAGTCCCAGAACCCGAACTCAAAACCCAAAAAAACACGTACATCGGCCATAAAACCGCAGCAGCTTTGGAGTGGGGCTTGAGCCTGAGCCCTCGGCACAAAAGCCCGAACCAGAGCACCAAAACCCCCCTCCCCCCCCCCGCGCAGGAAAAGCAGGGCTTCGGGTCTACCCCTAACCCTAAACCCTAAACCCTAAACCCTAAACCCTAAAACCCAAACCCTAAACCCTAAACCCTTTACTAAAGCCATGAAGGCACGCCACATGATCCTTTAAAAGGCACATAGAGAGTACCTCATGTTTTTCAAAAGGTGCGCACCAAAGAGGAAAGGGTGTGCACCAAAGCGGAGCCCCCACCACCCCCCCCCCCCTTGAAACCTAAGACTTCAAGCTTGTTCCCGGTTTCAGAAGCAGCTCAACCCCAATGCCCAGCACCCCAAACTGATACTACCATTTGCTGAAAAAAGACCTAAAACATGATAGATTATAATCCCCATGTTACCCTCATAAAGGAAGAATATCTTCTATGTTTTTTGGGGCGGTGTTCTTAAGCAATTAGTAGGATGCCTAGCGGCCTACGCACTGCAAGGAGAGAAGCGCCCCGGTGCACCTCCCGCTTTTCGGAATGAGCTTTCATCTCGCCGAAGGCCTCTCGCACTTGGCGTCTGATGTTGGGCATGGGCATGGGGTAGGTTTGGGGGCCATCTAAAACACAGCTAGTTGTGGCTTTAAAAGAAGAATATGGGGATTAAGTGGATTTCAGGGTTTGGACAGCTGGCAACCCTAAGCCACAAGCCCAAAGCCCTAAGCCCACCCCGCCACCCCCACCCCTAGACCCTAAACCCTAAACCCGAAACCCTACACCCCCGCTGCCTCGCGCACATCCACCACGTGCTGGTCCAGTCGGCCCCTCAAAGTCCCAAAGAGTTCGCTTTTGGGGATTATGAGCTGCATGGAGCTATGGGCTTATGGGTAAAGTTTAGGGGTCTATCGGTCTATGTGTTGAGGGGTTTGTGGGGTTTAGGGGTTTTTGGGTTTGGCTTAAAAGTTTCAGGCTGAGAGGCTCGGGGCGTTTACGGTGGTGCAGAACGCGCGCGGCCCCGTGGAAGGGTCTTAAAACGGCCGACAAAGTCGCATAGAGCTTACATCATTGGCTTTCAGAGAACTACAGAACTCCAGGGTCCTTGAAGCCTTACCGCTTTATGAAGGGGCCATAAGGCACCTAATTCCCTACTACCAACCACTACCAACCAGCAAGTTCTGTTTCTTATCCCTAATCCCTAATCCCTAATCCCTAAACCCTAAACCCTAAACCCTAAACCCTAAACCCTAAACCCTAAACCCTAAACCCTAAACCCTAAACCCTAAACCCTAAACCCTAAACCCTAAACCCTAAACCCTAAACCCTAAACCCTAAGGCCATGGCCGCAGCTCCTCTCGGTCTCGTGTCTCGTCCCTCAGCGCCGCACGCAGATCCTTCATCCGCACTAGATATCATCCTAGGGTTTAAGGTTGGGGATTTAGGTTTAAGGGTTTAAGGTTTAGGGTTTAGGATTTAGGGCTTAGGGTTTAGGGTTTAGGGTTTGGGGCTTAGGTCTTAGGGCTTAGGGCTTAGGGCTTAGGATATCCGCCTCTTGTTCAACCCAAAGAGCCCCAAGACCCCTGAATGAAGGAATATACCTAATTGATACAGTACATAGGGGCTCACGAAAATTAGTGGACCGCCTAACGCAGACCCCCAAATAGTAGGATCCCCTTACCATGAGGACCCCCCCCCTCCGCCATGTAGGGTTCCTCCATATGATTTAGGCTATATTCCTCAACTAACGGGTAGTTATTGGGGTCTTTGGGAGGTTGCCCTAGCTTTGGGATTGTGTTTACAGGCCTTCCTCTTGGGGTTTAAGGTTTAGTGTTTAGGGTTTAGGGTTTAGTGTTTAGTAGCTTTGGGATTGTGTTTAAAGGCCTTCCAAAAGCCAAGGTGCGCTACCCTAAACCCTAAACCCTAAACCCTAAACCCTAAACCCTAACCCTAAACCCTAAACCCTAAACCCTAAACCCTAAACCCTAAACCCTAAACCCTAAACCCTAAACCCTAAACCCTAAACCCTAAACCCAAACACCTCTAATTACCCTAAACCCTAAACCCTAAACCCAAAGCCCCCAACACATTCCAGCGCCCCAACGCCCTGTGTCCTCGGTGACCTTCGCCGCGGCCCGCTGGATGCCCTTGTTGGCCTCGGGGTTCACTGGGCATCAGCAGAAGAGGGTTTAGGGTTTAGGGTTTAGGGCTTAGGGTTTAGGGTTTAGGGCTTAGGGCTTAGGGCTTCGGGCTTAGGGCTTAGGGCTTAGGGCTTCGGACTCGGAAGACAGCAGGCTGGTGCGTAGGAACCTCGTGCTGCGGGTTCGCGCTCCGACTCTCACTGTAGAAGGCTCGTACTGTTCGGTCAATGGCGTTGATTGAAACCACGGAGGCTCAACAGGAGAATAGAAGGACGTGAGGCATCAGAGCCGATGAGGCGAGGGGCAGGAGAACAAGAAAACCAGAGGAAAAAGCGCGACTGCCCAGGGCATGAAGATCACAGTTTGCCCAGTCGACCGATGATCCGTGGCCAGCCTTCCACACACATCGCATCCTCGACCGTCGACCTACCCTGCCCAGTCCTCTCCCAAACCCTAAACCCTAAACCTTAAACCTTACGCCCTAACCCCCAACGTATCGGGACAAAGGTTGCAGGGGCTTGGAGCTTTGGGGGTTTGAGCGTTTTAAGGGTTTTGGGGTTTTAGGGCTTTGGGGGTTTTGGAGAGGTTTTGGGGGAGCTTCGGGGCTTGTTACCCCTCATCGTCCCTAAACCCTAAACCCTAAACCCTAAACCCTAGACCCTAAACCCTAAACCCTAAACCCAAACTACCCGAACTCAGCACCGACCCACTCGGGCACCCCGCAGCGCTCAGCAGCTCTTCCTTAACCAGGACATCGTTCTGAAAGTCCTGAGCACGGCCACAAGGATGGGCTGTTAGACCCTACAACAAATAAAAAAGGCCCTTTGTAGGGTGGATTATGGGTTTAGGGTTTAGGGTTTAGGGTTTAGGGTTTAGGGTTTAAGGTTTAGGGTTTAGGGTTTAGGGTTTAGGGTTTAGGGTTTAGGCGATGGCCCTTCCTGGCACACAGCATGCAACGAAGCGTGCTGCGGCTGTGCTGCTTTGTTGCTTGTCTTCCCGAAATTTGAGAAACCCTAAGCCTAAACCCATCAACTCTCGAGAGCACAGGGCCTGAACCCTCTCCAGGGTCTGGGGTACTGTAGATTCGCAAACCCTAAACCCTAAACCCTAAACCCTAAACCCTAAACCCTAAACTCTATTATTTTGGAGAGTTGAGGTTTTAGGGTTTCGGCTTCGGGTTTCGGGCTGCAGGCCCTAAACCCTAAACTCACGGGACTCTACCTTGCGCTCCTAAGAATGTACCCTTGGGTTTGGAGGGCTCTCCTTAAATCCATAAGAGGAGTAAATTCAAAAAAACTCTGAGCTAAAAGCCCGAAACTCTAAACCGTAAACCCTAAACCCTAAACCCTAAACCCGAAACCCTAAACCCTAAACCCTAAACCCTAAACCCTAGACCCTAAACCCTAAACCCTAAACCCTAAACCCTAAACCTAGACCCTAAACCCTAAACCCTAAACCCTAAACCCTAAACCCTACCCCCCCCCCCCCCCCCCCAAAAAAAAAAAAAAAGAAAACAATGAAAAGACCGTCCTTGTGAAGCTGCCCGAAGGCCAACTCCCTGGAGGCCGCTTCCAAGCTGATGGACTTGCCTTGCAGTTGGGGAGTTTAGGGTTTGGGGTTTGGGGTTTCGGGTTTGGGGTTTAGGGTTTCGGGTTTGGGGTTTTGGGGTTTAGGGTTTAGGGGTTTGGGGGGGAGGGGTTTAGGGTTTAGGGTTTGGGGTTTGGGCCGGTTTGGGGTTTGGGGTTTGGGGTTTGGGGTCTAGGGCTTAGGGCTTAGGGCTTAGGGCTTAGGGCTTAGGGCTTAGGGCTTAGGGCTTAGGGCTTAGGGCTTAGGGCTTAGGGCTTAGGGCTTAGGGTGTCGGGCTCCATGGTTTCGAGGGCCTGGGGGAGGGGGGGGGAGCGTTTCGAGGCTAAAGCAACAAGTCCCCCATACACCCTAAAAACCAAACAAGCCCTACAAACTCCGTGAATCCCATGAACCCCATCGAGGACCCTGCAAGCGCTACAAACCGCGTGTAGCATGCCCAGGCAACCCTAGAACTAACAAATAAACAAACCCTAATCCCTAAACCCTAAACCCTATATAAACCCTAAACCCTAAACCCTAAACCCTGAGTGTTCAGAGTCGAGACCTCGCAATCCCCCTGAGGCAGGGGCGCAGTTCCTCGAGGCTGGTCGCAACGCTGACGTCCTTCGAGCACTCTACAGCGCAGCGTGCGCAGCCCGAGCCCCCTAAACCCTAAACCCTAAACCCTAAACCCTGAACCCCTAAACTCTAAACCCCTAAACCCCTAAACCCCTAAACCCCAAAACCCCTAAACCCTAAACAGGAAAACCTGTGCTGGTCAGGGGTCCTGCTTGTGCTGGGCATCTTTTGCCTGGAGGCAGGGGTGGTGGGTAGGGGACGGCTTCCCAGATGAGTTTACTACCCCTAAACCCTAAACCCTAAACCCTAAACCCTAAACCCTAAACCCTAAACCCTAAACCCTAAACCCTAAACCTGCATGAAGTATGAGTCCCCAGATGCCGCAGTCGGAGACCAGCAATGGACAAAGCATACGGGGGAAACAGGGACAGCTGTTTTGGGATGTTCCCCCTGCTGCTAACAGTCCTAATTAGGGATTATAGTATTACAATCCCGAAATAAGGACTGTTAGTATAAGGGGGAACAGAACAACAACTGCTCAACAAGCAACAGGGAAGCAGCCAGGATCAGACAGCAAGCTCACCGAAAAGACTGTGGCTGGTTTCTGAACTTGGTTGAATCTGGTCTTCGTTTTCTGGTCTTCGCTTGCCTGGCTTGGTGAATGTATCATGGGTTCCCCTACTACCCCCCTCTATCCCCCCTAGGTTCCCCCCTTAAATAGCCTTTAATCATGGGGGGAACCTGGGGGGGGTAGTATAGAGGGGGGTAGTAGGGGAACCCATAAATGTAGTTGTCTTAGTTCGCCTGGTGTTTTCTGAGTCCCTCATCGCCCACCAACACACGGCTTGTTTCTTGGTGGTCCTGCTGAACTCTCAAATCCCAAGCACGGTTAGATCCGCTGAAACTACAGTTTCCCCTACTGACAGCCCCATGCACAAAGTTAAAAGCACCGCAGAGGCTCTTGGGATTTAGGCGTGAGCCGTGCCTCATGCTAAGATGACGCCAGGCCCTATATGACTTTGACTTTGAAGCAAGACAGTGCGACAAGCTCCACCCTAAAAGGCCTTGTCTCAACCCAGGCATTCGGGGGGTGAGCGTTGGGGCTTAGGGTTTTGGGTTTAGGTTTTGGGTTTAGGGCAGTTTAAGGTTTTAGGGGTTAGGGGTTAGGGCTTCGGGTGCTTCAAAAACACCCTCAGCACTGAGCCCAGAGTCCAGCACTTGGAGAGCTTTACCCGCACCCATACCTCAACGGGCTATGGGCATCACGATGCTTTCAGCACCACCTCCGTTGTGTCATAATTAAGCTACGAGTCGCTCACAATAAACTGGACCCTGACCGTCGTAAGCCTGGTCGAGCCGCTTCAACATCTGGGCGAGCTGTTCTCGCAAACCTGGCAGAACTTGCGGTACGGGTCTGGTTATTAGCCTTAGCCCGCGGTCCCGTGGGAAAGTCCTTCAGAAGCTTGCTCAGGTAGCAAGACTGCATTATGCGGAGGACTGCCATAGGGTTTAGAACCCTAAACCCTAAACCCTAAACCCTGAACCCTAAACCCTAAACCCTAAACCCTAACCCTAAACCCTAAACCCTAAACCCTAAACCCTAAACCCTAAACCCTAAACCCTAAACCCTAAACCCTAAACCCTAAACCCTAAACCCTAACCCCTAACCCCTAACCCCTAACCCTCAAACCCTCAAACCTACCCTACTAAGAACCAGCGAGCTTTTGGATGTCCGGCCTTCTTCCGCGGAGCGCCGCGAGGCAGCCGAGTCCGTGACCTGCGGGGCTTAGGGGTTTCAAGTTTAGGGTTTATTTAGGGTTTAGGGTTTAGGGCTTAGGGCTTAGGGTTTAGGGTTTAGGGTGTAGGGTTTAGGGTTTAGGGTTTAGGGTTTAGGGTTTAGGGTTTAGGGTTTAGGGTTTAGGGTTTAGGGTTTAGGGTTTAGGGTTTAGGGTTTTAGGGTTTAGGGTTTGGGGTTTGGGGTTTGGGGTTTGGGGTTTGGGGTTTGGGGTTTGGGGTTTGGGGTTTAGGGCTAGGGGTTTAGGAGTTTAGGGGTTTAGGGGTTTAGGGGTTTAGGGGTTTAGGGTGTAGGGAAGATGCATGAGTGATGATTGGATATTTAGGCCTCCGGATGACCCTAAAGCCTAAACCCTAAACCCTGAGCGCGAACCTCAAACCCCAAAGCCTATCGCAGTCAAAACACCTTGGCAGTATAGGGTTTAGGGTTTAGGGTTTAGGGTTTAGGGTTTAGGGTTTAGGGTTTAGGGTTTAAGGCTCTCCGCAACCAGCCGAGCCTCCTGTCCCAGGCGCTGCAGATCATTCGCAAGGACCTCCGATTTCCCGGGGCTCAGAGTAGGAGTTGGGGTAGAGTAGGAGTTGGGACCCCTGCATAGGGCCTTGTGGGCACCACCCTAAACCCTAAACCCCAAACCCTAAACCCTAAACCCGAACCCTAAACCCTAAACCCTAAACACTGAACCCGCAAACTTTGTAGGCCGAGGGCTATGGAAATGTTCGATGCTTGGGCCTTGCGCCTCGGGGTCTTTGTTGAGAACTCCCAAACTAGGCTGCCCAGTAACCTAGGCAAAAGGGTGCCCTTTTTTTGCTTAAAGGGGTTTATAAGGGAACCCAAACCCCCAAAAAGGGAATAAGGGTACTACTGGGCATCCTAGCAAAGCGCAACATGAGTCGCAACACTTCTCAGATGAAGAGCCTCTACTTGGAGGTTCACGGGTAATTCCATCTGGGTTCTGGATAGGGCAACTATCACCCTGGTTGGGGGACTTAGGAGTAACCTGGGAATACAAAGGGTACCCTGTTTGGTGAAAAGGGGCTGAAAAGGGAACCTAAACCTGAAAAAAAGGAAACAGGGCCTACTCTGGGTCCCAGTACAACCCTCCTTACCACTACCCATAAGCCTTCAAGAGCGTCCAAGTAAACTCTGGAGCCAAAAGGCGGTTTAGGGTTTAGGGTTTAGGGTTCAGGGTTTAGGGGTTTAGGGTTTAGGGTTTTGGGTTTAGGGCTTAGGGCTTTGGGTTTTGGGGTTTAGGGCTTAGGGTTTGGGGTTTAGGGTTTAGGGTTTAGGGTTTGGGGTTTAGGGTTTAGGGTTTAGGGTTTAAGGTTTAGGGTTTCGGGTTTAGGGTTTAGGGTAAAGGTTTAGGGCCTAAATTTAGGGTTTAGGGACTTCCGGAACCCAGCAGCGCGCCTTCTGCTCCTGCTGCCGGGCCCTCGACTCTTCCAGCAGTGCCTCGGACACCTGTCCCAGCACACTTCGGGCGTGGCCCTGAAGCCCTAAACCCTAAACCCTAGACCCTAAACCCTAAACCCTAAACCCTAAACCCTAAGTTGCTGAGTTCATAAGCCGCCAAAAAGTGCACACGTTCAGTTCTAACAGGGGACTATAATATCCCAAAAAGTGTAAAGTGTGTGCACTCAGCCACTAAGAACACTAAACCCTAAACCCTAAACCGCAATTTAAGGTGCTCACGAGCTGCATGCTAAGCTGCAACCCCTCGTCGCACCCAAGTCAATGACATCAAGCACTGCTGAAGACCCTTGAAGCAAAAGCTTACCAAGTATGAAAGCTGCTGCGTGCGCGATGCGTAAACCCTAAACTCTCCACCCTGAACCCTAAACCCGAAACCCTGAACCCTAAACCCTGAACCCTAGCCCTAAACCCTGAACCCTAACCCTAAACCCTGAACCCTAAACCCTAAAACCCTCCGAAGTCAGGAAGGCCTTGTTCACTTCCAAGGCAACGCCGCTGTGCTGCTCCAGACCTTTGAGGGGCCGCATGCAAAGCTGCTTTGGGGAGGGAGAAGCCGGGATTCGAGGTTGTAGGGCTTGGGGCTTAGGGTTTAGGGTTTAGGATTTAGGGTTTAGGGTTTAGGGTGAAGGGCTTCGGGCTTAGGGTTCAGGTAGGGTTCAGGGCTTAGGGTTTGGGGTTTAGGGCGTAGGTGTTTAGGATTTCGGGTTTAGGGCCTAGGGCTTGGGGTTTAGGGTTTAGGGTTTAATAGACAGATCATCCGACAGCAGATAGTACGAAGGTGAAACAAAGTGGCAGCGCAGCCAGCAGTCAATCCCAGACAAGCTTTCTTATTCACAACATTCTCCCCACATCTCCCCACGAAGCTACCAAAGACCCTAAACCCCAAACTCTGAACCCTCATCTGGGGGTGGGACGCCGAGACGTGCTTCTGAACAAACACAGAGGTGCCAGCGACACTCGGGCTCCAGCGGTGCTTGAGCGCCTCCTCGGTCGCCTGACAGGCCGCCCCCCCCCCCCCATGCTTAGCTTGCGTTGAGGGCTTAGGGCTTAGGGTTTAGGGTTTAGGGTTTAGGGTTTGGGGTTTAGGGTTTAGGGTTAAGGGTTTAGGGTTTAGGGTTTAGGGCTTCCACAAAACCCCCCCAACCGCAAGGATACCTAGAAGCATTCCGGCAAAGCCTCGCGGAGTTGTTGCCAGCGCACTTCCAAGGCAGCCAGCGCCTGATTTCTCTGCTGCCTCATGTCGCGGGAAGGGCTGAGGGCTTTCAGGGATTTGGGGAATGATGCCGAAGACGCGAGATGGCGCGCTAGCTGATGCTGGAGCACAAGAAGCCTAAACCCCAAACCCCAAACCCCAAACCCCAAACCCCAAACCCCAAACCCTAAACCCTAAACCCTGGGATGTCGCGATGGCGGTCCTCTCCGCAACGTCTTCCTGACGAAGGGCCTCCTGAAGCTCTCAGCTTGGACTTCCAAAGTTTAGGGTTTAGGGTTTAGGGTTTAGGGTTTAGGGTTTAGGGTTTAGGGTTTCGGGTTTAGGGTTGAGGGTTTAGGGTCTGGGCAAAGTAGGGCGCATTAACAGATCCGAACTCCTATCTTCTAACAGATCCCCGAACCCTTAAACAGTGGCATTCAGGGTCCTCCGAAACCCTAAACCCTACACCCGAAACCCTCAACCCTAAACCCTACACCCTCAACCCTAAACCCTAAACCCTAAACCGTAAACCCTAAACCCTGAAACCTAAACCCCCTGAACCCTAACCCTAAACCCCGAAAAAAGCTTAAAGGCAGGAAGTCCTCCAACTTGGCCAAGGCTGCATCGGTCAGGCGCCTTTCCGCTGCGATCAATGCCGGGAGTGCCTGGCAGGCGTGAAGCCCCTGTAGGGTTTAGGGTTTAGGGTTTTTAGGGTTTAGGGTTCAGGGTTTAGGGTTTTGGGTTTTGGGTTTAGGATTTAGGATTTATTAGGTTTAGGACTTAGGGTTCAGGGAACCTTCAAGTGTAGGGGTGATATCCATGTTTAGCCTACATCCCTTGCGCAATTTAAGCGGCTATTTCCTACATAACGGGATACTGGAGCCTCTGGGTTTAGGGTTTAGGGTTTAGGTTTAGGGTTTAGGGTTTAGGGTTTACGGCTTAGAGGGTTTAGGGTTTTTAGGGTTTAGGGTTTACAGTTTACGGTTTGGGGTTTAGGGTTTAGGGTCTAGCGTTTAGGGTTTAGGGTTTCGGGTTTAGGTCACCCTACTTCCAAATGTCACGACCCCCTCAACCTATCAACCTTAAGATTGGCAGCCTGCAAGTAGGAGGACTGCCAGCACTGATCGACACAAACCCTAAACCCTAAACCCTAAACCCTGCTTCCAAGGGTGCTGAATTCTTGCCCCCTCTGCACGCTAGAGATCACGCCCAGCCCCTTTTGCCGTCTTGCGGAGGACACAAGATCTTGTGAGTTTCACTGGACGGGTTTATTCGGTATACTGCGGGGCACAGGGTGCAAGGATTCAAAACGTTTTGTGAACCCGGCGAGTGCACAGCACAGCCTCCTTGGTTGCGCCCTGCTTGCGCAAAACTTCATCGTCCGCCACAGCCCTCTCCTTGGCCTCGAAAGAATAGGCGGAAAAGGGTATAAACCCAAACGGACAGCCCTTGAAGGCCTACTCCCTGACCCAGGCCGCCATGTGTTCGTGTGTTGGGGCGGAGAGTTTGACTTCAAATGCCCCCACTGGTATTCTGTTTCGCGAAGAAGAAGCTATGTCTGCGATGTGTGGTTTCTTCGAACATGTCTCGAAAGAGCAACGCATGCATTGCAAAATCTTGCAGGTCCAGGAGAAACGAGTTCACCAAAGCGGTCCTTCTGCCAGAGAGGTGCGGCAAAGTCTGCGAGGTGTGACTCTGGGTCGTTCCCTTCAAACGGTCCGACTTTCCTTCATGCCTGGATGCAACCTCTGATAATCCCCAAACCCTTCAAAACCCTAAACCCGAAACCCTAAACCACACAATCGAAGTGCATACGGATTACCCTGAGCCGACACATCCTGGGAGCTCATTCCGAAAACTACGGGCTTGTTTGTGGGAGCTTGGGAAAGGCAGGGAATGTTGGCAAGAAATCCCAAAAGCTTAAACCCGAAACCTAAGCCCTAAACCCTAAGCCCTACACCCTAAACCCGAAACCCCAAACCCTCAACCCGAAACCCTAAGCCGCGAGGCCTCGCTCTCGATCGCGGACAGCAGCTCCGACAGCTTCTGCGTGGTAACCCGGTCTCGGGTGTCGCACACCTGAAACATTAGTAGGAAATTACCGGGCTCTTGGGGCTATAGACCCTCAATAAGGTCCCTGCTTAAGAGAGCCAGAAGAGGGTTGACTCAACTCTCTTTCCTGCTTCCTTTCTTTCCGTCCTCTTCTTCCTCGATGATCCCCAGCCCCAGGCCCTTCTCTCTTCGAGAACGTAAGGGTTCTCTGTGAAAACAAAGAGAAACTAGAGGCTCTCATCCTAAAAGAGCGAAAAAGAAAGAAAAAAATAGGTTTTCCCCTTCCGATAATGGAGGCAAATCTAGACTTCCCTCCTTACAATAGAGAAAACAGGGGTTGTCCTACTCCTACCTCCCAACCTTAAAGAAACACAAATGACCAAAGCAAACTCGCAAAAAAAGTGCGCCCTCCGATCTAAACTCCCATCCTGCAGCTCTGCGGGTGCCGCAGGATTGTGAAGGGAGGCCGCTTTTGCAATAGTGATATGGTATAAATATCTTCTCGTATACAATAATCTAGCATGCTATAAGACAATCTAATATACTACCGCATCATAAAACATAATACAACATAACTGGGGGGGGGGGGGGGGGGGGGGGGATTTGGGGGCCCTGTAAAAATGTAAATTTCTATGGGCCACTAAGGGCATATAGGGATTAGGACCCATAGAAAGTTTATAATTCATTCTAAATCCACCCCAGATAACTATATTACTGTCGTATACAATAATATAGCATGCTTTACGTACTGCAAGACAATCGAATATACTACAGTATAATGAACCATAGTACAACATAATAGGAGTAGAGACACATTAACTTCCAAGGACACATTGAGTTCTCGGCGACCGGCTTTGCGAAGCATCGCGGGCATGCTTTGGCTTATATTAGTCTCTTCTACTCTATTCTGTTCTATTCTTTTCCATTTTTATTCTTTTCCATTTCTTTTCCTTTTCTATTTATATTTCTATTCTTTTCTATTTCTATTCTTGTCTATTCTGTTCTACTCTATTCTCTTCCCTGCGTCTTCTGCTTGCAGCTTTTCGAAGCCTGTCCCTGTCCCTGGCGTAGGCCTCCTCTTGATTGCTCAAGACAGTCTTGGTGGCCCAGCAAGCTTCTTTTAATAAGGGTACTGTTTTTTTTGTTTTTTTTTGGGGGGGGTCTTTTTACAAGGGAAGCCATAACCCAAAAAGGGCAGAAGGCCACCGCTCAGCTACCGAGGAGTGCCTGCAATTGCCTTCTGCTTCTGGGAGTCAAAGGCCAGCAGCTGCTGGGTGATTTGGGAATCTGGGTTCTCCGGCGCCTCAAATGTTGCCTACTTCATGCTCCGCATTTTTTTATATGTAAATATAAATATAGTAGAATAGAATAGAATCGAACAGAATAGACTAGAATAGAAATAGAAGTGCGGTAGAATAGAAAAGAGTAGAATAGAACAGAATAGAATGGAATATGAGAGCGAAACTTCAAAAAGGTGGAACCGCAAAACGGCACCAAACAGCCTGCTGAAGGTGCTCCATCCTTGCCCTGAGCTCCTTCAGCGAGATCTCGGTGCCACTGGCCTTCTCAGTTTTGTTTGGAGCGGGGTGGGGGAAGAAGGTTCAAGGTTTCATCTTGCGTAGTTGAACAGTTCAAAGATTTCACAACCAAGGGCTCAGCTGACCTGGTTGAATCCCGACCAGCACTTGGTGAGGGTTTAGGGTTTAGGGTTTCGGGTTTGGGGTTTAGGGTGTAGGGCTTAGGGTTTAGGATTTAGGGTCAGGTTTCAAAACCCGGGCTTGAACCCAAGCTTCTGAATCCTGTAGACCCTAAGCCCGAAAAGCCCGATAAACCAAGGTTAAGCCTGGTAAACCCGAAATCCCCACAGACCTTACAAACTCTCCAAGCCCCACACCCTGACCCCCTAAACCCTAAACCCTAAACCCTAAACCTTAAACCCTAAACCCTAAACCCTAAACCCCTGGCCCCTCAAGACCATCCTTGGGCGGTGCCTTTAGGTGCCGTGGTGCAAAAGGGAAACCTAATTTAAAGCCGGAGGATGCTCAAGAAGCTGTGCGAGGAAAACTCTCAGCCCTCAACGACCCTTTGTCTGAAAAAAATCCGTAAAACCCTGAGCTCTGCCATACTTCAAATCTGATCAAAGCCCTTCTTTGTCCGTGTTAAGGGTCCTAAGTTCCCCTAAACCCTGAACCCTAAACTTTAACCCTAAACCCTAAGAGTTCAAAGCCAAAGGTTCCCATTGGCCACACTTCACGACTCTCCACTCCTCGGCGCGCGCTCGGACATCGCCGTCCAAGCGGTTCAGGAGGTGGTTGCAGCTGTCCTCCTCTCTGGTTTAGGGTTTAGGGTTTCGGGTTTAGGGTTAGGGTTTAGGGTTTAGGGTTTAGGGTTTAGGGTTTAGGGTTTAGGGTTTAGGGTTTAAGGTTTAGGGTTTAGGGTTTAGGGTTTAGGGTTTAGGGTTTAGGGTTTAGGGTTTAGGGTTTAGGGTTTAGGGTTTAGGGTTAGGGTTTAGGGTTTAGGGTTTAGGGTTTAGGGTTTAGGGTGTTAGGGTTTTAGGGTTTTAGGGTTTTAGGGTTTTAGGGTTTTAGGGGTTTAGGGTTTAGGGTTTAGGGTTTAGGGTTTAGGGTTTAGGGTTTAGGGTTTAGGGTTCAAAGCTGGTATCAGCTAGGGGAGTCCACGTCTATCAGGAGCACGGCGTGGGGCCACCAAGCGACCCGGCGAGTGACGACTTAACTAGTTCATGGTTGGGAAAATATTAAAAAACTTAAACCTATATTCGCTGTTCGGTTTAAGTACCCTTAATTTTTTAATTTGTATTCCCTACTAGGTTTAAGTACCCTTAAGAATGTAAAATGGTACCCAACTATGACAAAGGTTGGGGGTGTGTCCCTCAGAGGGACGGTGCTGCAACTAAGGACGCACGCCGAAGACTGGTGCGTTGCTCTTGTGCCAGGGATAAGAACGAAGCCCAAACAAGAGCAGGGATTCCACCATGATATACGCTGATGTACGATTATATGCTAGAATATACTATAATCCACTACCCTACATGTACCATGTGATAGTCTACGAAGGTACTATGACAGACTAGAGCATACTTCCATACTCTTTCACAAACTTTCTTACACTTTGATCTATAATGCCCGAAAGGGGACTTGACCTATAATGCCCGAAAGGGGACTATACTAGACCATACTCTAAGCCGTGATGCTGCCGTAGTCTACGCGAATCTACCACACTACACTACGCCCACGGTGACGTCCTTCACGTCTTCGGCTCAGGGCTTCGGTGGGGCGCTACGGTGTCGCGTGCCGGGTTGTAGGAACCGTGCTCCGGGGGCTTAGGATGACATGGTTCCTAGGATGACCGTCCCTGGACCCTGATATCCACAAGGGGGCCATCAATTGCGACAACTTATGTAGGATTCGGCCCCGAGCCCCCCCCCCCCCCCTCTGCCCTCCACCTCAGGCCGTGAACGATGACTCAGCCCGACACCCGCGACGACGTTTCGGCGCGCAGCTGCTGCTGAATTTGCAGCATACCCTCTTGCATCCTCGGCACTGACAAGCTCATCTCGGCGATTCTTCGTAGGATGGGTTTTTGGTTCCCTACACAATCTCCGTGAATCTCTAAGAAAGGAAATACATAAGACACCTAACCCCCAAACTTCCCACTAAGAACTCGCAAGGTTGCTAATATGCTATGAAACACTCCCAGAAACGATCATATACTCGGCGCCGCTTGGGAGCAGCCCTGACAGTCTGGAACCACAGACACTATAGTGGGTTTGGGATTTGTACTATAGCATATTGTTGGGGTTTGGGGCTTAGGGTTTAGGCGTGTTTTATATGTTATAAAATGGTGCACTATAGCAGCATTCTCAGTTTATAGAGTAAAATGGCACATTGTAGTTTGCTCTGGTGCATGCCGTAGCATGCTACAGTATGTTACAGTATGCCATAGTACCACAATACATTCTTGAGGCTTCAAAATGCGTCTCTGTACGTTAGAGTACAAAAGAGACCCAAAACCCTAAGCCCCAAACCTTAGACCCGAAAACCCTAAACATAAACCCTACAGCCCAGAGCCCCAACCAGCTCGCAGCAGAATCAGGAGCGGACGCCGTGATCTCTTGGTCCATGCGTTGAGTCAAGGACGCCACCTTGGGGTGGGTTTAGCGTTTAGGGTTTAGGGTTTAGGGTTTAGGGTTTAGGGTTTAGGGTTTAGGGTTTAGGGTTTAGGGTTTAGGGTTTAGGGTTTAGGGTTTAGGGTTTGGAGTTTGGATCTTAGGGTCGTAAGGGTTAGGCCACCCGAGCTGATTCTTACTCCGCACTGACCAGGAAACGGTATTCCAAGAGAGGTCTCGTGGTCACCTTTCTTTCCACGTATCTAAGAAGAATTCAGCATACCCCAGACCCATACCCCTTAACGTATAAACGGAGAACAGAAGCAAGGATATTGCCATACCCCTGAATTTCTTTCAGAGGTATGCCCTAAACCCTAAACCCAAACCCTAAACCCTAATCCCTAAACCCTAAGCCCTAATCCCTAAGCCCTAAACCCTAAACCCCAGAGAATTTAGGAGTCCCGCACTACGCCGGCCTCTAGGATCGACCTCGGCTGCCCCCCCCCCTCCCCTCCCCCCCTCCCACCCCCCCAAACCCCAAATCCCTTGTGGTAACAACCCTTTGTCCGAAACCCTAAATCCTAAACCCTAAACCCTGAACCCTAAACCCTAAACCTAAATCCTAAACCCTAAACCCTATGACAAAAAGACACCCACAAAACCCCTACGCTGAAGCCCAGACTGCCATCTCGATCTGGTTGACATGCCTCTCGGAATGCAGCGGCTGGTCTTTTGGTTTAGGGTTTAGGGTTTGGGGTTTAGGGTTTGGGGTTGTTAGGGTTGTTAGGGTTGTTAGGGTTGTTAGGGTTGTTAGGGTTGTTAGGATTGTTAGGGTTGCTAGGGTTGTTAGGGTTGCTAGGGTTGTTAGGGTTGTTATGGTTGCTAGGGTTGCTAGGGTTGTTAGGGTTGTTAGGGTTGTTAGGGTTGCTAGGGTTATTAGGGTTGTTAGGGTTGTTAGGGGCTTGAGGGTTTAGGGTTCAGTGTCGAGGTGTCACTTTGCTCTGTGAGGGGCTGACTTTCCTGGATCTGTGCCTTCAGTTTTCTTGTTCCTTTCTGATGCGCTCCACACTGCAGCGAGGCCGTACGAAGTTCCCACACGATGTCTTCGACTCATGGAATCCGCTTGTGGAGTCAGCGCGTTCGACTCTACACTCTCACGGTTCAAATGCGGAGCTGTGCCCAGTGCCACCGTGCACACTCCGTGACAAGCTATGTACACCAGACGTAGACAGCGACCACTGCCCAAAGGAGCGAGGTAGCTGCTGCTCCCTTCATGGGATCTCCGAGCATGACGATGCCAGCGGCTTCGATGATGAGATAAATTGCGAAGCCAATGCTTCCGGCAAACGCCAGGGCCTTGGCTGTTCTGTGAGGCGCAACCCTGGCACCTGAAGAAACCTAAAGCCCCGACTAGCCTCTGCCGCGTGTTTGTCATGATACGCCTCTTGAACAAAGCTGTTTAGATCTTCTATATTCTATTAAGATGTGGAGATGAACCAGTGGAAGCTGTCGAGTCATCATGTTATCTATTTAGCTTTGCCATACATCGTATTACAACAAGCCTTCGTGACATAATCAGGAACACACTCGCACACAAACGGCAACCAATCCTCACTTCAACCCTCAACCCTAAACCCTAGACCCTAAACCCTAAACCCTAAACCCTCACTTCACACAATAAACCCCCTCAAAGCTTTTCTCACAACCTTTCAATAACTGTCCAACACCCCGCTGCCTGAGCTCCATCCGCAGGAAACGCATCGGTACCAACCTTTAGAGAACCCTCCCCTAAACCCTAAACCCGAAACCCTAAACCCTAAACCCTAAAACCCTAAACCCTCTGCCGCCCGGCACGATCGGCGGCCTTCATGGTCTGGTGCACTCAGCGAAGCCCATGCAGCCAAGCGACAATATTGACCACGATCTCCTGCCAGAAAAATCGGCGGCGTCTGCGCAGCAGGTGTGCAAGCTTCAACCTTGGTGGGCCCAAAGGCTCCATGTACCCTTATAGTAGAATACCTAGGCCTTAAGGTACCCTTATAGGAACCCCTTTAAGGCCTAGGTATCTACTATATGGGTACATGGAGCCTTAGGGGGGTGCTGGCCTTATCTCGAGCTCATGATGCAGCGTTTCTGTCGAAGGCTCGGAGTTTTCCAGTTGCAAGGCCTCTCCGAGCTACCCACCCGCACCCCTTGGGATCTGATAAGCCCCCTTTTCTATGTCCTACAAGCTGCCCGGCAATGGCAAAACAGAGTGCGACTACTAGATCAATCCCTAAACCCTAATTCTTGGCAAGTTGCTCGAGATGAAGGAGGACAGGAAATACAGCCAACCAATAGGCAAGGTTGGCGAAAAGGAGCAAGAACGGGAATGTCCCAACAGCCATGGACTGGAACACGTTGCACATGGCAACCCAAAGTGTGGGAGTAGTAGCTCCCACGATCCAATGGTACGGCAGAGGGTGCCTGCAGAAACTCTTCTGGAACACGCCCGCCATCCTGTCCCGCATGATCACATCAAATTCCTCGACGGAACCGAACCAGATGCAAAGGCACTCGCGAATGGTTTCGTGGTCACAGGCCATAGGGCGGCCGGTCACCGGGTGGATGTGGCCAATGGCGCAGCAGTGGCAGGAAACGTCCCGCTTGAAGGAGAAGTCCGAGAGCTGCGTGCAAGCCATGTCGAGATCCCGAAGGTGGCTACGCCAGAAGTGGGCAATGAAGGACATGGACAACATGTGGTTCACGGCCTCGCAAAGGCCAACAGAAAAGGCCCTCCAGGTTCAGGGTGCGCCCTCATCCTAAGCCCCAAAATCTTCGTGGAGGAATTCGGGGAATGTGATGCCTCACCAGCCCTACCAAAAAACCCGCTGTCTCATCCCACAAGGGGTCATGTAGGGGAATAGAAGGTGCCACACTACCTCAGGAATGCCCTACAAAGAACTCACCCCAAACCCTAAAGCCTAAACCCTAAACCTCGTTTGATCACTTTCAGAAACTCCCCGCGTTGGCCGCGCTGAACACCAGCGCCAGGGAAAATGGCTCCCACTCAATGTCCCCGATGATCACAGACCTAGACATCACAATGATGTCTGGGTGATAACCCTAAAAAGGTGTTTAGGGTTTAGGGCCTGAATAATTAATAAGGTTTTGGGGGGTTCATATAGTATGTTTATAAAGGGACCCTAGGGGAATACTATTGGTAACTAGTCCGACCCCTATATTAGGCCTTGAGATGGTTCAAGACAGTTCTGTAGAATATAAGCCCCCGTTTCTGATTGCAGAGCCTATCTCGGGCACCCCAAAAAGGGACCATGATGAAGAACCACCCTAAACCCTCAACCTTAAAGCCTAAACCTCTCTACCATATAAACCTAAATGTTAAACACGAATTTGGATTTTGATCAATTTCCCTTTTTACCACCCATGGTTCAGCACAAATTTGGGAATTTGATCCATTTTGGCATGTCTGACCCCTTTCACCCCCCCATTGTTCAGCACGAATTTGGGAAATTGATCCATTTTGGCCCTTCTGACCCCTTTGCCCCCCCATTGTTCAGCACGAAGTTGCCACCATGGGCGTGGCATGGCGACGTCCCCTGGCTTTTGTCTGTAGAAGAATGTATGAAGATTAAAAGCTTCGAAATTCCGAGAGCTGAAACTTCTTGGCAGGGCTGCTATCGGGGGGATACCCCAAGCCCCGCATTTTTGCGTCCCTAAACCCTAAACCCTAAACCCTAACCCTAAGCCCTGAACCCTAAACCCGCCTAAAGGAGCCGTGGGTCAGAGGTTTGGGCATGCCGAGGTACCCCGTGATCTGGCTCATTCCGGTCCAGGCCCAGAAAGTCAGGAACCTCTCTTTTGAACAGTTTAGGGTTTAGGGTTTAGGGTTTAGGGCTCAGGATTTAGGGTTCAGGGATTTAGGGTTTAGGGTCTCGCCCATTTTTGAAGCTGCTTACCCCGAAACTACCCCCCAAAACAACTGCCACGAAATATAGGCCCCTTAATGATTAGAATAGAGTCTTGGGGGGCATTACAGTACACTTCGAAAGGGACCATAAGGGAATACCATTAGTAGTTACTCCGACCCCTATTTTTTGTCCGCAAAAAAGGAGCAAGACGATGCTGGTGGGCCCCCAGGTCGTGGGCCGAATTCTCAGCGCCGCTGGGTCGTGATGGGTTTTCAAGAAGGCGGCCACTTCCACCACGCACCACAAGCCTTCTGTTCAGGGTTTAGGGTCTAGGGTCTAGGGCTTAGGGATTAGGGTTCAGGGTTCAGGGTTTAGGGTTTAGCCTTCTCCGAAGGTTGAGCGTATGGCTAAGGATGCAAAATCTTGTGGGCACTGGTTGCGTGGGAAGAGATAGATCACAACAAAAGAACCCAAAACACGCAGAAACTCAGGCTTACTTCTCCAATAACCAAGGGGTAAAAAAAAGCTTAACTTTATAATTCCTACTAAATAAGGAAACCCAAAAGAATTAAAGTTCAGCTGTTGGAGAAGTAAGTAGGTCCGGGCCCGACATCTCCAACCCCCTAAACCCTAAACCCTAAACCCTAAACCCTAAACGGGCCCTACCGCAACCAGGTGGCGACCGAAGAAAGTGGAATCCCAGCAAAGGAGCATGGACTCGGAGTTCTTCACCTGAGGTGGGTTTAGGGTTTAGGGTTTAGGGTTTAGGGTTTAGGGTTTAGGGTTTAGGGTTTAGGGTTTAGGGTTTAGGGTTTAGGGTTTCGGGTTTCGGGTTTCGGGTTTCGGGTTTCGGGTTTCGGGTTTCGGGTTTCGGGTTTCGGGTTTCGGGTTTAGGCTTAGGGTTTAGGGTTTAGGGTTTAGGGTTTAGGGTTTAGGGTTTAGGGTTTAGGGTTTAGGGTTTAGGGTTTAGGGTTTAGGGTTTAGGGTTTAGGGTTTAGCACCCAAACGACCCCGGCGAGAACCACGAGAAAGCTGACACCCCTGCACCCTCAAGAGGGAAAATAACCCGGCCACCCTAAACCCTAAACCCTAAACCCCAATATGAAGGAACCAGTCACACAGGCGCCCACGTTCACCACTCCCTCTACTTGGAGCTTGGCATCGTGTTGGGCGATGCAAAGCTTGTCGAAGAAGACTTTCCTTTAGGGTTTAGGGCTTAAGGCTTAGGGTTTAGAGTTTAGGGTTTAGGGTCTAGGGTTTAGGGTTTAAGGTTCAGGGTTTAGGGGGTTAGGGCTTCGGGTTTAGGCTTTGGGGTGTAGGGCCCTGAACCCAGTGCCTCCCCGCTGCTCAAGTATTCTATAGAGACTGGGGAGGTTTCAGGGCGACGTCTTGTGTGTGCTTTTTGTATATGAAAGAATTATGTAAAACTCCCTAAACCCTCCCTGAGCCCTCAACCCTAACCCCTAAACCCCCCCAAACCCCAAAACCTAAACCCCCCCCCCCCCCCCCACCCCGCCCCCGGCCTCCCCTTAAAAAAAACCCAAACCCACCCCGACCCCCCCCCCCCCCCCAAAAAAAAAAAAAAATGAAAAACAACCGAAACCCTCAACCCTAAACCCAAAACAAAACTGAACCCTAAAACAAACAACACAACAAACAACAAACAATAAACAGCAAACAGCAAACAACAAACAGCAAACAGCAAACAACAAACAACAAACAACATACCACAAGCAACAAACCACAAGCAACAAACCACCAGCAACAAACCAGCAAACAGCAAACAACAAAAACAACCCCCCAAAGAGTCCAAGAGCAAGGCTCACGGAGGGCCGCCAAAAACTAACGAAACCCTAAACCCAAACAAACACCCTAAACCCTAAAAGAAACAACAACAACCCCCAAAGAGCAAGGCTCACGGAGGGCCGCCAAGTGAGCAAGGCGAGGCTGGAGACCAGCAAGCCGACCAAAAGCGACCAGAGGGTCGAGGCGCCCATCCGGTCCTCGGGATTTCTTGCTGTGGGCTCGGACGGAGGCTCCCTACATAATCCCTTAAAGGGTAGAAAGAATCCCCTTAAAGGGTATGTATGTATATATATATATATATGTAGATATAGAGGGAGGGAAGGAGGTACCCTATCATAAGCCTGTAGGGGGATATAGGGTACCTCACTCCCTCATTACCTACGAACCACATCTTCCGACGCAGCCGAAGCTTGCAACAACAGCCCCACCATACCAACAACCATAAGAATAATAAGAATAGTACTAATCATAAGAAGAAATAAGAAGAAGAAGAAGAAGAAGAATACTGTTCGGACTTGGGTTGCGTAAGTTTTGTTGTTTATTTTGGGGTGCGTGTGTACGTGTGTACATATAATTCATATGTATATATAAATATATATATATATATACATATGTTTAGTCTAAGGTTCCAAAAACAGCAACAATAACATCAGAATGAGAATCTAAGAATAGTATCAATAAGAATAGTAAGAATGAAAATAGCAACAATAATAATGCCAAGAAGAATCGTAACAAGAATGATGAAAGAAAAACAAGACTCGCAACAATCACAATACTCAGAACAGAAAGAAGAGCGAGAATACCAATACTAGCTAACCAGAATAAGAGAAGGCGAAGGGGTCTTGAGCTCAGGGGCCCCCGGGATTCTTGACCGCCCCAATGTTCCCCCCACACCCCCCCTCCCCCTCACTTTAACAGGAGGCATCGAACTCTTGCAGCTTAGGCTTTTTTTGGGGAGTACAAGGTAGACATTTGCCCCTTTGGACTATGGGCGCTCGACACAAGTGTCTGCTGGGGTTTGAGTCGAGAGGGTTTAGGCTTTAGGGTTTGGGGTTTGGGGCTTAGGGTTTAGGGTTTAGGGTTTAGGGTTTAGGGTTTAGGGTTTAGGGTTTAGGGCTTCTCAAGAACAAAGCCAGAGGCACTAGGGGCACGAGCGAGACCGCCACCGCCAGGGTGCCGCAAGCCAGGGCAGCCAGTCCGCTGCAGACCAGGTGGAGCACGGCGATCTTGCAGTAAGGACCGCCATGCCTGGGATGGGTTGACATCTGGGTTTAGGGTTTAGGGTTGAGGGTTTAGGGTTTAGGGTTTAGGGAAAGTTAAACTTGATCGACGGCTGTCCCCCAAGGCTGTGCCTGGGTCCCTGCCCCCCAACCAAGTAACAGTTGTGCGTTCTTGGGGAGGATTTTGCGCATGGGCAGCGGCGTGCGTGTTCCTGCAGAACAGGCCTGCGTTCCTCAACACGGCATGTAACCTTTCATGTAGCAGGAGTCATCTGGAGGCCGGCATTTGAAATCCGAGATGCCAGGAGTGAGTCCAAAACTGTGAAATGTGTGTCGCCGGCGTGCTGTAGATGTAGGCATCTTGAGAGTAGGCGCCTCCACGTACCGCCGAGCCGACGCCCCACAAAACTCGGTGAGCCTCGGCAGAAAAGTCTCTCGTGTCGGCTTAAGGTTCGCCACGTGCGAGGCTCACCAAAGACATGAAGAGCTCAGGGTTTAGGGTTTGGGGTTTGGGGGTTTAGGGTTTGGGGTTTAGGGTCCAGGGTTCAGGGTTCAGGGTTCAGGGTTCAGGGTTCAGGGTTCAAGGTTGAGGGAAAACTTTCCTGAACTTCGCCCGCAAACCGGTGTCACTCGAAGCATCTCCGCGCGCGTGAGGGCGAAGTTTGACACATGCTGCACGAGCTTGGCAGTACTTCCTTACCGGTTGGGATGTCCCCCCTGAAACAAACAGGCCTTAATAGGGATTCTAGTTCCCCTTACTATAGTCCCTACTAGGGACTGTGAGTATAAGGGAGAGCATCCCAACTTGCAGGTCCAGCTTTGCAGTAGCGAGCTTTGTGGGGACTTACGAAAATAGAGGGCCCCTAATGTAGACCCCCAAAGAGCAGGGTTCCCTTCTAACAAGGACCCAATAAGGCACAGTTCAGGGTTTAGGGTTTAGGGTTTAGGGTTTAGGGCTTATAAGGTACCCCCCCCCCGATGTCGGAAATCCCCCCCTGAAGGCGTCCGCAAGAAACTCTCCCAAAAGGCCTCTTAGCCGACCTCTCAAGCTTCGCTTGGTGGGAGCCTTGGTGACGATGATGGGCACCTTCTCTTCGCCGCCCAGGCCATCAAAGTCAGCGCCGCCGATGCGCTCCGGAGCTGGCGCACCCCCGGTCTGCGCCATGAGACCCCCCCAGAAACAGCCGCGAAGAGCCCAAACCCACAGGGTTTCGCTAAACCCTAAACCCTAAACCCTAAACCCTAAACCCTAAACCCTAAACCCTAAACCGCTGGAGGTCTCGTGGGTTGCCTAAAGAAGGGCTTTGTTCCTGGGTGCCCATTTTCACATACGGGGCCTCAGATTTTGGGGGCACCCCAAAAAGGGAACAGGGCTTAGAGAACTTTTCTATTGCCACTGCGGCTCTTTGTGCGCAGGCTTGAGCCATTCCGCCCAGCCAGGCAAACCCTCCCCTGATTGATCATCTGTTTAGGGCCTGGGGCAGTCTACGATTTAGAGCTGTGGATCTACAAAAGTAGGCCTCGGGACACAAAACCTGTGAAAGCCCACGCGTTCCCCTAAAATCTCAACCCAAAAAAGATCGTCAACGGATCCTCGGAACGTCTGAGGCAAACCTCATGTCAAGCCAGATCCCCTACTTGGAAAGGCTCATGGGTAGCGCGTTATACAGGAAGCAGGGTTCTAGGTTTCTAGACTCCCCTTAGCACCTTGATAAAAATCATAGTTTTAATACCCTCGTGGGTTTTATACAAGCAAAAATGACAAACATAATTCCCAAGGGGGGTTCTAGGTTTAGGGTCTAAGGCTCTCGGGTAGTGATATGTACGGTTGAAGGCAACACCTAAATAAGGTGCTAGCTTGGAAAGGTTCCCCTTATACTAACAGTCCTGGATATGGATTCGAGTGCCCCCTATTCTAATCCCGATTAAGGACTGAAGGGGGAACACTCCCAAGTGATAGATCTACAAATAGCACCAGCTATAAGCACAGTACCCAGGACCCGGCGAAGCAACAATCCAAAAACAGAGAGAGAGAGAGAGACAGAGACAGAGGGTTTAGGGTTTAGGGTTTAGGGTTTAGGGTTTAGGGTTTCGGGTTTCGGGTTTCGGGTTTCGGGTTTAGGGACATCAGAACGCCTCGTCTGATCACCCTCGATCTCTCGGATCTCGCGCGTGCCATCGACCAGACTGCTTCTGAGGTTCTGCTGTCCTCGCATTGTATGAAGCTTGTAGGGTTTAGGGATTGGGTTTAGGGTGTAGGGTTTAGCTCCAACCACCCCCTCCTCCGCACCCCATTAGGGTTTAGGGTTTAGGGCTGTACTACCCTGGGCAATTTGATACGAAACGGATCTACTTTCGGATTTCTCTGAGGGTCTGGGTAACCCTAAACCATCACTAGGGTAGTTCTGAAGTTCTGTGAATTAGGGTCCCTTTTGCGGTCCTACATATGGTGCGGCAGCCCTTAGAGTAAGGACCCGAAAAGGGAGCCCAATATAGAGAACTGCCCAATTGGAGGTTTAGGGTTTAGGGTTCAGGGTTTAGGGTTTGGGGTTTAGGGGTTAGGGGTTAGGGGTTTAGGGGTTTAGGGGGGCCTTGGGGAGGCCCAACAGAGAACATCACCATCGAGCGCCGGACGATTGAGCAGCTCCCTGAGCTGATCCTGCCCAACTCATGTTGGGAAAGGTTTGGGGTTTAGGGTTTAGGGTTTAGGGTTTAGGGTTCAGGGATTAGGGTTTAGGGTTCGGGGTTTGGGGTTTGGGGTTTAGGGTTGAACGAGTATTCCTGACTGAAGTGCTGGAGCGCACTAGAACACAAGAACGGCGCGCATCATGCCTGCAGCATGTCCTTTTCGGCCTCCAGGTCCTTCGAGACCTCTCGACAAGCCCGGGATGTAAAAATCGTGGTCTCAGGGCACACGTCTAGGCTTCACGTGGCAAGCCCCAAGCCCTAAGCCCGAAGCCCTACTTAAAGGATCAGAGGCTTAGTAAGTAGGGTCATGATTGTTGGCAGCTATACTTACACATACTTATAACCCCAATTAGGGTACTTATACCCCTACTTACTAAGTCCCATGATCCTCCTAAACCCTGGCCCTAAACCCTAAACCCTAAACCCTAAACCCTGAACCCTGAACCCTAAACCCTAAACCCTAAACCCTAATCCTCAAGGTAAAGCCACCCCAGAACCGAAGAGAGAAGCTCTGTGACCTTCTCCACCTGGGCGCTGATGCCCTCCATCTTTTTGGCCTCTGAGATGCGTTTAGGGTTTAGGGTTTAGGGTTTAGGGTTGAGGGTTTAGGGTATAGGGTATAGGGTATAGGGTATAGGGTATAGGGTTTAGGGTTTAGGGTTTAGGGTTTAGGGTTTAGGGTTTAGGGTTTAGGGTTTAGGGTTTAGGGTTTAGGGTTTAGGGTTTAGGGTTTAGGGTTTAGGGTTTGGTTTAGGGTTTAGGGTTTAGGGCTTAGGGTTTATTATCCCTCAACGAAGGAACACTCCAAGTGACGAATGCTTTACTTGAGAGACATTTTGGGGGTGTTGGGGGGGTGTACGATATTCGGAGTACCTTGTTACGGCCCTTATGATAAGGGGATCCTCCTGTTCGGGGGTCTATATTAAGTGTCCTAACGATGTTTCGCAAACCCCCCATGTTAGGGACTCTCTGGGCGGGATCTTGGCAGTGCGAGTCGGGCTAAGCCCTGGGCCTGCAAGCTGCGCTCGGTTGCCAGGCTGTCCTGCAACGATTAGCGAAGAGGGCTGACAGGACCCACACTTTGGGATGTTCCCCGTTATACGGACAGTCCTTAAGAGGGATTATCATAGGGGGTGGTGCTAAACTAACAGTCCTTAATTGGGGATTATAATAGGGGATGGCTATAGTCCTTCTTGAGGAGGCTGATAGTATAAGGGGGAACATCCCAACCCAAGCTCCCAAAGACCCCTGAAAGCCAACCAAGCCCTTGAGCTCGACAGGCCGAGGCGTAGAACTCCACAAAACGGCAGGTAGCAGGCGGCCAGTTCTTCTGGTGGGTTTCTCGTGGGGAATTGGGGAAGTTGGGCCCTATATAATCCCTCAAACGGTGTATATAGGGAGTCATGGTGGTCGTCACCGTAGGCAGAAGTTGCTCTCACACTCGGATCTCTACGAATACATACTCCCCAATTAAGGGATACTGGGGTCTTCCGGCTCAAGAATAGACTCTTTTTGTCTACAGCGACTCCCTTGTCTTGTCTTAGGCCACCTTGCATGACAGGGTCGACACCATGATCGAAGCCTTTAGAGAGCCTTAGTATGCTGAGTTCATAAGCCCCCCAAATAAATGTGTACACTTTTCTCAGCTCTATAGAGGAGGAAAGGTATCCCAAAAAGGTGTACATTGTACTCACTCAGCTCCTAAGAAGCCACCATACTTTATGGAGCTGCCCCCACGTCCTCCACTCGGCCAAGGTGCTCCTGCAAAGCGGCCTTGTCCTGGGAGGCCGCGGAGACGCTTCTGCTTCCGCCCCAACATGCCCCCCTCCGAGAATTCGGGTTTAAGGTTCAGGGATTTGGGGTCAGAATCTGTGCGCTAACACCGAAACCCCGCCTCAACCAACCCCGCCCCCCTCCCCCAATACCCCCCCCCCTCCCGGCGGCTCCTGGAAGCGCGAGGCCTCGCAAGGGTGCAACGTGTGTTCAGGCCAAGGGTACCCCCCGGAAGAATAGAGCCTCCCTCTGAACACGAAACCCTAAACCCTAAACCCGAAACCCTAAACCCTAAACCACCCTAAACTCGAGGCCTTGACCTGCACAATATAGGGGCTTGAATAATCACAGAATAGGGCTTTCAGGCTTTGGGGGGATTATGGTTTAATTATAGAGGGACCATAAGGGAATACTATTCGCAATGAATTAGAATGGGGCTTTGGGGGGTATGATACTATAATAAAAAAGGGACCATAAGGGAACGCTATTAGTAATTACTTCGACACCTATATGACCCCAATCAGTAAGTATCTTACGTTTGGGGGTGCCGATAATGGGCTTGGTCGTCATTTGGGGCACATGAAGGGTTCACCTACTTTGCGCTCTCAAACCCCTCGACCCTGCTTTCCCCCGAAGAGGGTGCCCGCCTTATATACCCCAACTAGCCTAATCCTCGTTTCTAGGAACCCGAAACCCTAAACCCGAAACCCAAATCCCCAAAAGAAGTACCTTAAACCCTAAACCCTAAACCCTAAACCCCATTGTCGGCAACCCCAAATGGCCGAGGATATGGCCCGCTCTTCGCTCAGCATCTGTCGGAGTTGCGTCTCCAGCTCGCTGCGTCCCGCCTGGCGGAGATACGCAGTGGCTGCTGCTGAGCGTTGACGAGTTTGGGGTTGAGGGTTATGGTTTTGGGGTTTAGGGTTTGGGGTTTAGGGTTTAGGGTTTAGGGTTTAGGGTTTAGGGTTTAGGGTTTAGGGTTTAGGGTTTAGGGTTTAGGGTTTAGGGTTTAGGGTTTAGGGTTTAGGGTTTAGGGTTTAGGCTGAGGGGGTGAGGGGTTGAGAGATACCTGGGTTCTGAGTCTTTCGAATAGTAAAGAGCCGCGGAGGCCCGGTGACTTTGGCGACGTCTCCGTCGGAATCAGGGATAGATCCCAACATACCCTTAAACCTTAAACCCTAAACCCTCAGCCCTAAGCCCTAAACCCTAAACCCTAAACCCCAGTACGGAATTCGGGAGTCGGGCACCTTTTGGCTTGGAGGTCTTTGGGTTCAGGGTTTCGGTGCCTCGCACCCTTCTCCGTTGACCTTTTCAGGAACGAAACAAACCCTAAACCCTAAACCCCAAACCCTAAACCCTAAACCCTAAACCCTAAACCCTAAACCCTAAACCCTAAACCCTAAACCCTGACCGCCCCAATTCTCTACACCCTAAGGCGCTTTGTTGGCTACAGGATTGACTGGCTGGTTCTTGGTAGGAAATGAGGGAACGAGGTGCCATGGATGATCCCTTAACGGGTATACATCGGGCCCTTATTCCCTCATTCCCCTACGAAGAACCAGGACAACAAATGGCACAAATCCCCTAAACCCAAACCCTAAACCCTAAACCCTAAACCCTCTAGAGGGCGACCACTCGAAGATAAGCTGCAGAATGCCTGATTTTCGGGTGCCTCACGGGATGGATTCGCGCGTGTCACAAGCAGAGCTGCGGCGTGCCGGCATCTTCGGATCTAGGGTTTAGGGTTTAGGGCTTAGGGTTTAGGGTTTAGGGTTTGGGGTTTAGGGTTTAGGGCTTAGGGCTTAGGGCTGAGGGTGAGCTTCCGCCGCACTCTTCATACCAAGCCAAGTCTGGGCTCAAGAAAGTATGCTAAGCCCGCCCAACAGCTGCATTGCAGAGCAGGCCGCAGCAAGCATCTGCGGTTCATAGGTTTCGAACACTTCGCTGCACAACACAAGGCAAAGTTCTGTCGCAACCGACGTCATAAAGATCACAAACAGTCCGAGGAAACAGTCGCCGAAGCATTCCATCATTCCATCCCAGACTTGTGAGAAGTCTGTCCGGGTGCTGAAGCGCATGTGGGCCAGTCCCACAGATACCCCTTCTTGAAGTAAGAGCCTGCCCATTGAACCCCTCTAAGCCCAAACCCAAACTGTGAACATTTGCCATCAACCTCAAAGCGCTGCACAAACCTTTCCAAACGGGCCTTGTAACAGCTCCCGAAACCCAGCTGTTGCTGAGTACCCTGGGCCATAGCTGAATACCCTGGGTCAAAAAAGGTTAACCTTTCCATTGTGGTGGGATATGTGTACATAAAATAAGTATATATATATATGTATATAGATATATATATATATATGTACAGATAGGTTCAAGGTTTGCCTACTCTGCTACTGAGCAAATCCACCCCCCAAAACTCTTCCCACACGGCTTCGTGCGCTCAACTGCTCCCCTCATCGGCGCTTCTTCCTGGGAGGGCCACTGAGGGATTTGGCGCTCAGGTTTATGGTTTAGGGTTTCCGGCTTCGGGTTTAGGGTTTGGGGTTGGGGCCCAACCTAGGAGCAAACCAGAAACCAACAAAAACCAAAAGGGCTCCCAGACATCTTTACTTGACAAAAGAAGCCAGACCGCAAAACACAAGGGCACAATAGCCTGGCCTGCGGAAAGCACCATCTGGACTCATTCCTGCTGTCCCTAAACCCTAAACCCTAAACCCTAAACCCTAAACACTGGATGCCTCCCCTACTTCCACCCCCCCCCCCCCCCCCCCCCCCCAGGAGCTTCTGCGAGCCGCTTTTGGACTCTCCCAGATGCCCCTAAGACCCCCCCCTCCCCCCAAGAGTTCCCTTAACAACTTACCTGGGACCCCCTTGGGACCCTTTTGGGGCCACCACAGGGACCTGCGGGACCATTGGGGTTTCGGGTTTCCTGCAGCAAGTTGACATAAGACTTGGCTTTCCTTCGTCTGCGATACGCACGCTGCACCCCGCATTTGGGCCAGGCGGCGCGCGCGAGCGTTTACCATCTTGAAGCTCCTCTGTAGATGGGATAGGCAGAGGCAGGCTTAGGACCCCTCCGAGGCCGACACTTGCCTCCAGGCTTGGAGAACGCCCAGCTCACGTCCAACTTGTGCTCCTGCCGAAGAAACCAGAAACCCCCTAAACCCTAAACCCTAAACCCTAAACCCTAAACCCTAAACCCTAAACCCTAACCCTGAACCCTGAACCCTAAACCCTAAACCCTAAACCCTACTCTATCTTTCGACAGCCAAGGCGTCCAGAAGGGTGTTGCCATCCATGGCCTTGATTGCTGCATCTGCCTGGAGCACTTGGAGGGTTCATGGCACTTATGAACCAATTTAGGGTTTAGGGTTTAGGGTTTAGGGTTCAGGGTTTAATCTATTCGATCGCTTGTGGCTGAAGCAGTTCTTGAAGAGTCGTTGCCTGCTGAGACAGTTCTGTTCGGTCTTGACACTGTCGTGCGCTCGTTCTGTCTTGTTCCCCCCACACTTTTGCTCCAGCTTTCAGGCGGAGTGGTCCTTATTATAAGGGAATCCTAGTATTTGGGGGGTCGATGTTAGGGGCCCCCTTATTTTCGTTAACCTCCATATGAAAGTTCACAAGAGGGAAAACGTGTGTGATCACTGCAAAGAGATCGACTCCAGAACCAGACCAACTGAAAGTTGGAGACCAACTCGCAAGCAGCGAACATTCAAACAAGACTAAGCGCTGATCCGTAAGGCGGGATCATGCTGTGGAAACCCTAAACCCGAAACCCTAAACTCTAAACCCTAAATCCGAAACCCTAAACGGTTGGCTTAGCCCACGAAACGGAAACGGCGCTTGAGAACGCAGCCAACTACACATCAGTGTTTCACACAAACCCCAAGAAGCTAGATTGGGGGGTCTCTAAATCACGGTCCCCTTTTTTGGGGGTTTCCTCTTATGATACCCAGCCCTGGTACCCAAGAAGGGATCATCAACCCTAAACCCTAAACCCGCAACCCGCAACCCAAAACCCAAGTTGAGCGACCTGGGCCTAGATCCTGTATACCTTGAGAGGTTTCCGAAGTGGCCTCTTGCTTGTTCTCGTACTCGATGAATGCGTAGCCCTCGCACCAGCGAGAGCTTCGGGGGATGTTTGGGGTTCGGGATCTTTGGGGCTGCAACTTTGCAATGTGCGGAGCTTGACAAAAGCATTAGGACCAAGAAGCGGTCCTTCACGAAGCCTGTACGACGGTCCAGATTCAGATGCCTGGAGATGGGGTTTGAGCTTCAGAGCCTTCAGCTCAGGCTTTGAAACCTTCCGAGGTGTTCTGTCAAGCTGGAAGGCGCTAGGATACGGACGGGTGCCGACTGAACTCTGCATTGACAAGCGTTTAGGGCGCGGTGCGTGACACCAACGGACACCAACTCCTGAAATCCTGGAACTTCAAGGGATCTCGCAGGAACAGAGAGGTCGCCAGATTCTCTGCAAGGCTTCAGAATACACTGTACCCGAAACCCTAAACCCTAAACCGTGAAAGCATTCTTGGACCTAAGCCCCGGCCCTCAAAATCTATGCCGAGCTGGGAGGCCCCGCAGGTTCTTGATGTCTCCATACTCGGAGAAGGCCTCGAAGATGTCGTCCTGCTCCCCACTCTTCGCAGTTCGATCAGAGCTTCTTCCCAGGTTGCATTCTTTGGCTCCTATGTTCTGCGTTGTGGTCCCTACCTTGGGGCTCCGAAGAAAGAAGCTCAAAAAGGCCCCTTGGTAAACAACTCTCCACTTCGTGAATGTGGGCAGTGTAGGGGTCTGTCTCGGCAGGATTTTTTACGGTTTGGGGCTCGATTCAGCCTTCAACTCGGCTTACGAACTTGGGGAGATGGAGGGTCGCAAGGTGGCTCCGCACTGTTCCGCACGGTTCCGCACCTCCTGTGCTTCCTCGTGAACGCCCGACACCTCACCAGGAACTTTTCAGGAGGGGTCTGGGCTGCCTACCCCACACTGGCGGCTGGCTCCTGAACACAGCGTCCCTGCCTGCAAATGCTCAAATCACCCGAATCACCGCGCAGGCCCATCTAGGCTGCGCACGATAACGACCCAGCCCTCGATGGATCTGGCTGCGCCGGTTTCGTCCTGAGCGCGCGACACTGGCTTTAGTCCTTCTTGCTTGCGCCATCTGCAGTCGAAGCCCATGACACCATCCCAAAGAACAACTTGACACAGGGAAAGCAAAAGTCATTTTGGTCACTCTTCTGCATCCCTCAGCCACGTCTGCATTAGCGTGTTGGCAAGCGATGCTCTGGAAGGAACATTCAGAGAAGGAGATGTGCCGTCGGGCGTTTGGCCATCCATCACTTCTTGCACCACCGCACGGTCAAACCACCGAACATCTTCGAGCTCGTCGGCGTCGAGGTTGATGCTGGGGTCTGATGCCTCGGCAAGGAAGCCCACCATGAGAGAACGCGGGAACAGCCAGGGCTGAGAGGCCACGAAGCGTATGGTCTGTGGGTCCACCGCCACACCAGCCTCCTCGCGCACCTCACGCACAACGCACTCCTCCAGAGTCTCCCCGAACTCGACGAAGCCGGCCAAGGTCGAGTAGCGTCCGGCGGGCCACTGAGCCTTCCGGCCCAAGAGGCATCGGCGCCTCACGGCAGAAGCTATCTCCACTTCAGAAGATTCTAGGGCTTAGGGTTTAGGGTTTAGGGTTTAGGGTTTAGGGTTTAGGGTTTAGGGTTTAGGGTTTAGGGTTTAGGGTTTAGAACCGTTGACTGCAAATTCGTCTAGCAGCCCGTGCGTCACCAAAACGATCACGGAAGGATCCAGGCGGGGCCGGAAGCGTGCCCCGCATGCCTCGAGACCAGAGACTCCAAAACCCCTCAATTAAGGAATATACCTTAAATTATAATCGGAACCCTAATATGATTTAAGGTACATTCCTTAATTAAGGAATATACCTTAAATTATAATAGGAACCCTAAATCATAACGTGATTTAAGGTATATTCCTTAATTAAGGGATTTTGGAGTCTCTGGGTAGGGGCGGGGGTTTGGGGTTCGGGGCTTGGTTTGGGTCCTTCTGGGGGGTTTGATGGGGGTTTGCGAAAATAAGGGGCCCCAAATGTAGACCCCAAATAGTAAGGAGGCCCTTATAATACGGACCCCAATAAGGTACCCCGAATTTCGGATACCCCCCGATGGGAATGGCGCTCTGTGTAACTTAACCTCTGGGGCCTCGCAGCGTCGATTCGACCCGGAGCGGAAGGAGGCAGTCCTGCGATGGCCAGGTCCGGGTTTAGGGCGCTTAGGCCTAGGGCCTAGGATGCCTAGCGCTAGGAACTGGGCTTAGCGGGTTTCAAAGGAAAGCAGATCACGGTTTGGGAAACAAGTCATGGTTGGAAATTAGTGCTCGGTCCTGCCGCCACACGTGGCGCAGAATCGCACAGAGCGGTGCCACTCGGACAGCCCCACGGCAGTGGCGAGCAATGCGGCGTAGTCGTCAGCAGCCAAGTCATCAATGACCGACGGCCCAGTCCGGGAACGGAGTCTGCCCCATTGCCCACCTTCTGCAAGGACTGCGGGGTCCGGAGGCTCGGCTGAAGCGGAGAGGTCCAGGAGCCAGAATCCCGGCCGCTTTCCTGGCTTTGACTGCGACCCGCTCTGTAGGCTCTGCAGACTCCGCTCCTGCAGGTGAAGCAGCGGCCCGGAACGGGCGCGGCCCAGCCAAGCGGTCTCCGTGTCCTTTCCTTCTGCAGCGGACAGAGGGAGCAGCACGGGCTCCATGCCTCCGCTGGGCGCGGGCCTCACCAGTGACCGTCCCCTGTAGACTGGTACGAAACATCCGGATTCCGCGGGCTCCGACTCGGCAGGTCCCCGTTCCAGGCGCCCCTGCGTGTTAAAGAACACCTCAGCAACGAAGCCCACCGAAGAGTCCAGAACAGTCCAGACGATCAGGACTCCCAGCACGGCGCGCTTCCATTGCTTCGCCTCCCACATGTGAAGGGGGCCTCTCACAGCCCTAGCGCGCGACAAGCTCCGAACACCCAAGAGCCTCTGCTCTGCTAGGGCCGGCCATGCTACCCGGACACGAAATCCTCCAAGAACCACAAGGAACTGCATGGTGCAACCTTGTAAGCAGAAGTCCTAAGGATCCCCATTAACTCGAACCAATTTTAAGGGTCGTCGAAGCTCCCGGACGTCTTATCTTTTGATTCCCCCCCCCCCCCCACCTACCCGGCCTAAACCCCAGATTCGGGGCCGCAAGACAGTCCCAAACCCTAACCAACCCTGCAAGCCCTAGTCTCCCTCCCCAGACCCCCTGGGGAGGATCCCAAAAGTAGAACCCCCAAATCGTGCCCTCTAACCCCTAAACCCTGAACCCTAAACCCTAAACCCTAAAACCGGCGATCCAAGAGCCCAGAGCCCTTGGCTCGGGCCCGTGCGTCGTCGTCGTCCAGCCGCTCAAACTTGCCAGCCTGCAGCCAGGGTCGGAGCAGAGACCAGGAAAGACATTCCTAGCAATCATGACGGTCATATGTAGAAATACATATTTATTTATTTATTTATATTTATTGATATTTATATTCATATAGATATATAGATATAAATATAGGTATAGATATAGATATAGATATACATATACATATACATATATACATATACATATATACATATACATATATACATATATATAGAATGATACAGTATCATCTCATATCATATAGTTATAGTATTAGAGCAACATGAACGTGTATAAAGATATGATATAACAACAGATACCCACTTGCGATCCGTAACGGTGCAGCCAGGTCTTCTGAGAGGCGGTGGCAACGATGCAGACCAAAGAGAGCGCCATCCACAAACCCCGACCCGATAAAGTTCATATTAACCTGTCTTGTCTTATCCTATCTTATAGTTAAAAACTGTAGGTAAAGAGTAACATTGAATTATGTTAGATTATCCTAAGTAAGAGAACCTGACCTGGAGAGAGGGCCTGGTGCTCGCCACACATACGGACCCTTCAAGCAAAGCGTGAGCAAAACAGAACCAACGGTTTCTCCTCATATGTTGGAGAGTTCAGAACACTCCAAGCCGAAACCCTAAACCCTAAACCCTAAACCCTAAACCCTCCGCTGTTTTTCTGGACCAGACATCCCTTCAGACCGCACTGTGATGAAGCAGATTGAAAGTTGGAGTCACTTGAAGCCCAGAGACCCAAAATCCCCCCCTAAGGAACACACCCTAACTCGCATCCCCTCTACCCAAAACCCTAAACATCAGGATTCCTACCAGCACCTGAGGTGGATTCCTATAAAAGGGGTCTTCTTGGGCTCTCTGCGGATTTCCATCCCAGACCCCTGGGAGGATCCAGAAAGGGGAGCCCCCAAGTAGTACCCTTTACTAGTATTGGGTCAGTCTTGAGAACCCTTCAGGGGATCAAACCCTAAACCCTAAACCCTAAACCCTAAACCCTAAACCCTAAACCCTAAACCCTAAACCCTAAACCTTAGTTTGGGTTTAGATGGACGTCAAGAGTTCCCGCCTTGCCAGCATAGCGATCATCCTCCTCGCCTCCGCGTCCCTGATGGGTTTAGAGTGTAGGGTTTGGGGTTTAGGGTTTTGGGTTTAGGGTTGGGGGTTTGGGGTTTAGGGTTTGGGGTTTGGGGTCTGGGGTTTGGATTTTGGGTTTTGGGGTTTGGGGTTTGGGGTTTGGGGTTTGGGGCTTGGGGCTTGGGGCTTGGGGTTTGCGATTCGCGGGGTACTCCCGTAATGAAAACCATAGGCTTCGCAACGTTCCCCCCTCTAAACTTTGGCAGGCCTTTTGAAAGAACTGCCCACAAACCCGTAACCACAAACCCCAAAATAAAGCCAAGAACTCCCTAAACCCTAAACCCCAAACCGTAAACCCTAAACCCTAAACCGAGAAAGAGCTGGCAGAATTCTCTAAATGCTGAGCCCTTTTGTGGCTTCCCCTTATTAGGGCCCCCCCCCCCCCCCGTATCAGGTACTCCAAACTCTCCGCCTTTCAACCGATTCCAGCTCAAACCCTAAACTCTGAACCCTACAACCCCAAAACCCCTGGGAGGATCCCCTGAAGGCTTCCTGGGACTGACCCAATAATTGTACAGGGTACTACTTGGGGGGCCCTACTTTTTGGATCCTCACAGGAATCTGGGACCTAAACCCTAAACCCTAATATAAACCCTAAACCTTAAACCCTATATAAACCCTAAACCCTAAACCAAGTTCCCTCATCGGGCCGGCGGGGCCTTGATCCGTCGTCCGGCTGGTCGGGATCCTTCCTCAAACACATGACTTGCGTCTTAGGAGATTCGGGTTTAGGGTTTA